ACAAGATGCGCACGCAGTGGCTCCTGGGCTGGCAGCTCTTCTGACGCCCCGCGTGTCGCGGGGCGTCGTGGGCCAGAGGAGGGCGGCGCGGCGCCGCCTCCCCCCCCGCCTCCAGCGGAAGCACGGCCGCGTGCATGACTGCCTGACTGGTCAAGATGTGACATTCAGAGAAGTCTGCGAAATCTACGGAGTTGCGATCCGACCATCGTGCTAAAAGAGTCACGACATTTCCATTTGCGCTGTCACCACACTTCTGAACCAAAGATGCGTGCGTATATGTCGCGCGTGGGAATAGATGTACGACTGAGCATGATAAAGGGAGTGGTAGACTCATACCGTGAGTGCAGAGCCTGGGAGAAACCAGGTGACGCTGTCATGCCTTTGATACCCCCTGGCAAATTCAACGAAGAAGTCGAGTGTGATTTGATGTCTTACAAACAACACATCGTGTTTCACATCATCGACCGATGCATTCGGTGGGCTGCAGGCCAAGGTATTGCCGAATGCGGTAGCGGACTCCTATCGCAACTGCTGGATGCAGCACGGCCCAGCCACGGCGCTGTATTCCGACGATGAAGTCGCCCTAAACAGTGATGCCGCTAAATCCATCCTGTAGGCTAAAGGCGCAGAGCTCCGCATCCGTGCCCGAGGCCACTTGCATGCCATTACTATCGAAGCACGCAACCGCATCCTGAGACACACCTTACACGTTATGGAAGAAGAGTTAAAGCGACACAGCATTGCATGGTTTTTGCACGTCTATTGTGTGCAGGCCTAAAGGGTGTCGCCATACCACGCACTGCATGGCCGACAACCGGCCTGTTCTGCAGGCCCACCAGCAGCACGGGGCCACCAACAGGGGACGGAAACGTCCGGTCACACTCGAGAACAGAGGATGAGAGAAATAAGCGCTGAAGCCATCACACAGGCCACAACAGTAGCCAAAACCAACAGCCCTACGCACAGAAACGACAGCAGCAGGACACCGCAATTATCAGCCATTTGACCTCGTGGACTACCACCGTCCGACCACTACTAAGGACGACTGGGGTGGATGGAATGGCCCATGCCCCATCGCCCGCACCCACCCTGACCGCGGTCAGGCTGCAGCGCAGCGCAAGTTGGCGGTCGGGAAGTCTTAGTGCATCACCCAGAGCTACGTCGCGCATTGCATATTGAGGTGCTAATGGTCCGCGGGATCGGCTCGGATACTACGGCCGCGCGAACAGCGTTGGCTATTGATCGCGAGCTTGCCTGCGGGGAAACCAGCTATATATTTTTTGATACCTGCCGACCAAGCAAGGAAACTTGCGGATGATTACGGCGAGCCGTCTCTCGCCTACAGTACATTCAGTTCCTCATCAGAAACTACTCTAGGATAGAAAGCGTAGTAGCGGTACGTTCGGCTAGTAGCATACACGGGGCACCGGTGGCACACTGATATCTGTGCCCATGGTATACGATGACAACGACGTTACACCAAGGCTTGATTATTACGAATCCGAAGGTACCGCTCCTGATATCCATGACATCGCTGGAACCGCGAACGCACGGATAATCCAGTGCTTGGCGTCTTCGAAACCATTAGCAGGCTTCGACGAAGACCTTTCAAAGTGTGAGGACCTGGCGGACGCGTCAGCTTCGGACGGCCACGCCCAAGAGGAGGAACGGCCTCCTGCGCCGGCCACACTTGACGGCAGGCCACCGACCATTGCTGAGGAGGCAGAAATGGACATAGAAGCACACATCATGGAAACGTGGTATGTCGAGCTCCAAGGGGAAAAAGAAATGCTCGAGACACCCTGGTGGGAGTCCTAGTGTTCTGTGCCCGCTGAGATGATTACATACAAACACTTACTCGTGGCTGTGGCCAGTGAGGAGCAAGCACACTTGCGAAATATAGGTCATGCTCGGCACCACGACGCCCGCGAAACCTTCATGGTATCTTGGACCATTGATTACGACGAGACTGACGATCTCGATTCGGACGAACACGGTCAGTATGTTGAGCTGTGCTTCGCTACAGACGTGGCAAAAGTTGTCCTTTCAGAGCAACAGCGCGAGCCATTGCGCAACGACCAAGTCACAACAAGGTGCGTGCATGTCTCAGTCATAGCTAGAAGAGCTTTGGTCGTCAAGGAAGACGACCTCCTGGCGAAGTCAGAGACCCAGGCCAATTCGATTAAACAATCGATGGCCTTGCGCACGGAACTCAAAATGGCATGACAACACATGCTTAAGATGCAGGAAATCAAAGATGCTACGAACATCATGCCTGCCGATCAAGATCAAAGATGCGCGTAGCAGTGGGAGCTCGTTCGTAGCTACAAAGGCGAGATGAAACGAATTATGCGATTACAGATTCTTCTTCGTGGCAATATGGGTACCGAAGCACTCGACGTATAAACTTTCTCAGGCGCTGCTCGTCGAGCAATTCAGAGACAGCTCGCCAGCGCGGCCGCGCGCAAGAAACAGTGGATCATAGCATCCATGGGCATCGATGAGGCCGTCTTGAAAGGCTTGACCTGTCGCGAGCTGGCAGAGGCCACTGGAGAGACAGAGCGCAGGGTCTGCTTTATCCTTCCATCTGGCTCAGCCTCGGCGTTGCGCACACTTCCCGGCTTCTCGCCCCGTGGCGCCGGCGCCAAAGATGCCCCTTTGGCATTCGCGCTGGGGCCCAGGACTATCGCGCGAGGCTTGGGGCTTAAACCCACTTCATACGAGGGCGAATTTGAGACTAGCCCAAACTTCTCAACAACCATGCACGTCGATGACGTTGACGCGGTAGGAGTGGAGGACTCTCTAGACAAATATGTCACACGCGTAGAAAGTACGTTCGGCGCACGCAAACTGGTCAAACACTGCGATATCAACTGCGCCGCGCGCTGCGCTAAGACCGAGGACGGCCGCGCCCAGCTAGATCAGGAAAATTGCATTTAGACAGCTGCGCCCCACGCAGCGCCCAGGACTCACGGTCGCTGTGGCCGAAGAAGAGGCATCGAAGACAGTGTCCGACACGTTCGTCAGTTTACGCGGCGCCTTGGCGCATGAATTGATCACTCAGGCGCGGTTCATGGCATGCGCGGCACCCTTACAACGAGCACAGGGCCTCACGAACCCCCAGGTGCGAAAATTTAGCGCTGTCACGCGCCAGCCCCAGCAAGGCCCAAAGAAAATGACACGGCAGCTCATGGATCCGATTGGAGAAGTGGGCCTTCACAGCGGCTCCAGATGTCGCCGCCTTACCTGGGGCAAATATGACGATATAGAGTGATATGGCATCCGGGGAGCCAACCTTTGACTGCGCGGACGCGCGCCTAACGGCAAGGCAATAGTACATCTGATCGATGCACACTGCAAGTCGCGTCGCTTGCAGGTGCGTTCCAGCTACTCAGTTGAGGCACTGGCGGCAGCTCCTAATGGTGAGGAGTGCTGCCCCACCGCAGTTGCGCTGCGCGAGCTTGGACCTGGGCCCATGCAGCGCACGCAACTTAAGAACATGTGAGAGTTAGGTGGTCTCAGCAGTAAGGCCATCCTTGCCATGGGCGCTGAGTCGGTCTTTAAATTCACGTCACGCAAGGACTTGAAGAAGCCGACTGAATGCACCCTGCTGGGGCGCATCAGCTGGAGATGACACGCGATGGACCGAGGTGTCGTTCATGGCGCACAGTGGCGTGATTCACGGGACATGACTGCCGATGGCCATGCCGAAGACAATCAGTCCGTCAGATCCGAGGTGAAGAAGTGCATGCCCTATCGAGGCAACAAAGAGACAGCGCCAACGTGAGGGTGCTCCACTCTTGGCTAGCGGATAGGTGTGATGATGATTATTCGAATCTATACATGTAGTCACCATTGCCTGGCCACGGGCATCCATACCTACAGCTCATATGACAGCGCGGACACGGGCCCTCACCTTCCCGCTGACTGAGGGGATCTGACCGCTGGGTCATATTCCTTGCGCGTCGCACGCTTTGACGGCTGGCACTTGGCCGGCCGTCTCTCTTGAGTATCTGCGGATGATCGCGCGGTCCTGCCCGTGATCCTCCATGATGATCTGCGACTGTGCAATGGGTTTTACCCTTACTTGGCCCGACTACTCTGCTTTGCTTTTACGGACTTGCCTGCGTGCTGTTAGGGATGTTGGGGTGGGGGGTGGGGGCTGGGGAATATCCTTGTCCTTCTTCTCTATTTGATATAATGAATTTGGGGATTGGATCTAGCGTTCGGCCCCTGCCCCCCCCCGACTTTAAACGAGGTTAGAGTGGGGCTGCGTAGCGAACGCTATATCCGCCGCAATCTCGGCCCAAGGTTGCGTAGGCCTATTTGCCAGTTGCACGACTGCGCGTGACACTGTCTGGTTCATCGCATCAGACCAAGACCACGTCTATCAATAATGCGTTTCTCCATCCCATGGTGTATCTCTTACTGTTCGGCTTGCTTGCTTTTAATGGATGAGTTGTGGGGTGTGGGGTACCTCGATACGTCGCCGACGTTATCCTGATAGTATGGTTTTCAACTGGTTACCTCATGGTCAAGCCCTTGAACCCGTACTTGTCATTATACATACATACATGTATGCATGCATGCATGCACGCGTGCGTATATACATACATCCATACATTCCGTGCGCACATAATTTACGAACATGTATACAAACATGGCCCGGACAAAAAAATGCAAACGCTGCTGTTGACCTCTCTGGGATTTTCTTGTCGGCTGTATTGCAGTTGTCTGGGGCTTTTTGGGCCGTCTTGGCTGCCCGGGTAGCTTGCCCGGGCCATCTGTGGAAACCCAGGGGGAGTCCGTCGGAGTCCGTGGAGACGGCGCGGAGAGCCCCAGAGGGGCACCGGGGCACCCAGGAACCTTCGGGAGGGGCGGGCGATGCACGCAACGAGGCGCTGGAAGAGGGAGGGACCCTTTTCAGAAGATTACAGGAGACCTGCCATACAGCACTGGATATTCGACCATGCGTCAGTGCCAAGAGGGCACGGAGACGGATCGGCGTCATCAATGGTGTGTTCATCCAGGAGACATTCAAGGTCGCCTCGACCGACGACAACCTCATGATATATCAGAAGGAGCGCGCGGTGCGTTTGCACAGCCAGAAGATGAAGCGCCTTTTCCGCGCGGCGGACGAGACTGGCGACGGGGTGCTCGACGTAGAGGAGACCATTAACGCCCACTCCTTTGGTGGGGGATAAGGGAGAGGGCGAAGGGCAGGCCTTTCAAGAAAGCACGGAGGTCAAATTCCACATGCTCCACGGTGGACCTTCCCGGGGTGCCGCCCCACAGGCCTTGTCACTTCTGGCCCGAGAACCCAAGAGTACGGGACGCAAGCTCTCCGGATGTGCATGCGGATTGTTGCAGTCGGTGCTGGGCCCCCCTTCCCGCACCCGCGGCGGCACTCCCAGTCCAAGGCCGTCGTTTGCGCGCTCTTCGCGCCGGGGAAGAGTGTGCGGGGGTGGTCCAGCGCCGTCCCAGGAAATCCACGCGGACCTCCCAGTTGGGTATTCTACCTTCTCCTTTTCCGTCTCCTCCCTCCCTCCCTTCCCCCCTCCTCCTCCTCCTCTTCCTCCTCCTCCTCTTATTCCTCCTCCTCCTCCACCTCCTCCTCCTCTCCCCCCCCTCCTTTTCATCTTCCGTCCCTCCCAGCACGGAGGAATTCAGCAACGCTATGAGCGACAGAGACGTGAAGACGTGGATGGCATCCATGGAGCTCGACGTCAGCGACGCGGCCAGCGTTTTTCTGCTCGTGGACAAGGACGGCGACGGCACCCTGACCCCAGAGGAGCTCGTGCAGGGCGTGGCCCTCCTGAAGGGCGCGGCCAGGAGCATTGACCTGCACATGCTGCGCCGGGAGGTCGTTTCCACGGCTCACAGAACCCGAAGGTTAAACAAATGCGCGAAGACGCTTGTTCATAGGTCTGGCCGAATTTTTTGGGGGTGGCGCCGACCCCTGAAGTCTGCGCGGACCTCCGAGAGTTTGTGTTCATGCAATATTTACGTCTTCTACGTATCACCCCAGATGCGAACAAGAGTGAGGGAGCGGTGGGGACGTCGGCAGTTTGCGAGACTCTGGAGAAGCCCGCAGCAGGCGCCAAAGTCTCACGAATTATACAACGAGCCCGCCGCAGGCGCCGAATTTTTTGTTAAACCAATGTGGGTAGGTCGCGGGTGGGCCGCAAATTGGTCGCGGGTGGGTCGCGGGAGTAGAGGGCAGAAAATCAACCTTATAATAATCACCCCGACAAGCGAAGCCGTTTAGTAAACGCACACAAGGAATGAATCGAACAGGGCAGGGCTGTTTAGTCAACGCCCAGGGCCGTTTAGTAAAGATCAATTGTCGGGTCCAGGTGGTTTTTCCTCCCTTGAGGGTGGGTCGTGGGGTGGGTCGCGGGTGGGTCACGGGGTGGGTCGCGGATGGGTCGCGTGTGGGTCGCGGGAGTAGAGGGCAGAAAATCAACCCCATAATAATCACCCCGACAAGCGAAGCCGTTTAGTAAACGCACACAAGGAATGAATCGAACAGGGCAGGGTTGTTTAGTCAACGCCCAGGGCCGTTTAGTAAAGGTCAATTGTCGGGTCCAGGTGGTTTTTCCTCCCTTGAGGGTGGGTCGTGGGGTGGGTCGCGGGTGGGTCGCGGGGTGGGTCGCGGGGTGGGTCGCGGGTGGGTCGCTGATGGGTCGCGGATGGGTCGCGGGGTGGGTCGCAGGTGGGTCGCGCGCTGGGTCGCGGGTGGGTCGCGGGTGGGGTCGCCGTTGGGTCGCGGGGTGGGTCGCGGGTGGGTCGCTGGTTGGGTCGCGGGTGGGTCGCGGGAGCAGAGGGCCGAAAATCAACCCCATAGTACTCACCCCGACAAGCGAAGCCGTTTAGTAAACGCACACAAGGAATGAATCGAACAGGGCAGGGCTGTTTAGTCAACGCCCAGGTCCGTTGAGTAAGGGTCAATTGTCGGGTCCAGGCGTTTTTTTTCCTCCCTTAGGGTGGGTCGTGGGGTGGGTCGCGGGTGGGTCGCGGGGTGGGTCGCGGGTGGGTCGGGGATGGGTCGCGGATGGGTCGCGGGGTGGGTCGCGGGTGGGTCGCGCGGTGGGTCGCGGGTGGGTCGAGGGTTGGTCGCGGTTGGGTCACGGGGTGGGTCGCGGGTGGGTCGCGGGTTGGGTCGCGGGTGGGTCGAGGGTGGGTCGCGGTTGGGCCACGGGGTGGGTCGCGGGTGGGTCGCGGGTTGGGTCGCGGGTGGGTCGCGGGGTGGGTCGCGGGGTGGGTCGCGGGTGGGTCGCGGGTGGGATGACGGCAACAACAACAACAACAACAACAACAACAACAACAACAACAACGCAACAAGCAGAAGTTTCACCACGAAATGTTTATTCAGCCACGCACCCAGGGACAATGAATGACCGTTCGGCCCCTCACTCTGATCAGCGCAGGTTCAATTGTCAATTTCCGCTGGTAACGTCACGGCTCTGGGCGGCTCTTGGCGCATCGCGTTCCACATGCCGAAGGGCTTCCAATATCTGAAACAACACAGCTGTTTGCAACTGCTTGCAACTGCCAAGTTTCAGTATTGTAGAGCGCGACTTGCAAAACACCTACCAAACACACGCAGTGGAAGACAAATGTACAAAACGTGGGCATGCGCACACCAGCAGTGGCACACGTCTTTCAGACCATCGGCCTTCGCAGGCCATCCCACCAGATCCTTGCCACAGCAAGCGCTCAGAGCGGAGCAGGTCTGAGCGTTCGGTCGGGCTCTTCCTGCTCACATGTGCCACTTGCGTCAGGGGGAAGCTGCGCGGCAGATGCTGCAGCCTGGCATGGCCGTGGCGCCGCGTGGGCTGTCGCGGTTCTTCCTGGGGCGGCCTCCCTTCGGCGCTTCGGGGAGGCTTCCGGGGTGGGGTGGGGGGTACATGCAGGATAACAAGAGGTCGAGGGAAAGAGAGCGACAGGGATGCAGGGAGGGACGTGAAGAGAGGGACAGCTTGGCACGCGCACACGCGCACGGAAGTCTTGCGCGGGGGCGCCGTATCTGTGTCGCATCGGCGGGCTTCTCACTGTGCGAGCATCGCGGGGTGGCGAAGAGGGGGGTGAGGAACAGGGAGCGGGGGCACCATGGCCAGGGCCATGGTATCGTTCAGATGTTATGGCCTCATGCCTCGGGTCATGATGCGCTGACCCACCTTCTTCCTGGCCTCCCCTTCAACACCTCCAAAGGTGGTTTTGGGGAGCTCCCAGAGGCCTCCGACGAGCGTCTCTGAAGTCTTGGGGCCGCCTTGAAGGGGACTTGGGCCCTTTGGGGGGTCCTGGGGCCGCCTAAGGAGTTTGTCTGGGGGTTCAGGATGTGAAGAGTGCACTCCCCTGCTCCTCTGCCGCCCGTGTCACCGTGTGTGCATCATGTACACGCTTGTCTTGTTTTGTGGCATGCATGCTGCCCGCCGCTGTTTTGGCCCTAGTCCTAGGGCCCTGGGACGCACCCGCAGTTTTGACCGCCGCGCAGTCCGAGCTAAAAGAACTGCACTGACATTGGTAGCGGAGCTTGTAAGCTCCAGCGGACGCACTGCGTGCTCTGCTTTGGTGGTCGTGACCACCTGCGCGGGCCGCCATGGCAGCTAGCCAAGACGGTTCAGATGCGGAGGCTGCGTCCTCTGCTGGCACAGGTCCCCCGGACCTGCATGCAGTCCTGCGCGTAATGGCCGAGACCCAGCGGGAGCTCTTGGCCTTACATCGGGATCGTGGTGGCGACGGCGGTCCCAGACGTACACGTCTACTGCTGTCGCAGGTGAAGCTCCCAGAGTTCGATGGTGCAGTCGGTACGAGTACCAAGAAGTACCGAGAGTGGCGCAAGGAGGTTGAAGTCATCCGCAACCTCAACCAGCTCTCAGATGTGGAGCTGGGCCTGATCATCTACAGTCAAGTGACAGGTCGAGCCAAAGAGCTCATCGAGGTGCTTGATGCGTCGGACCTCCGACGCGAGGATACGCTTGAGACCATCTTTGCTATCTACGACGACGCCTTCGAGAAGATGGATCACGAGCGCCTCGATCAGGTGCATCAGGAGTGGGAGCGAGCACACCGTCGAGCTGGGCAGCCCATCATGGATTGGACCACGTACTTGCGCAAGAAGCGCATGGAGTTGCAGCTCGAGGGTCCTACTTCAGCGATCAGCGATCGCGCGCTGGCAAGCAAGATGCTTCGTGGCGCTGGACTGTCGCAGAAGGAGCGAGCGCAGGTGCTCTTCAACTGTGGCGGCATCTACGACTCGAAGCGGCTGGAGGTCGTGCTGACGCAGCCTACTCGAAGGTGCACGACACCGAGAAGCGCTCGGTGCTCCCTCGCCGCTCGCCGTTTGCGGCGCAGCGTGAGCACGGGCGTTCCTCCGGGAGTTCGGGCGGTCGCTATCCGCACCCTCCCATGGCTCGCAGGCCTTACGTGCTGCGAGGACGCTCTGGCCAGCACGTGCACGAGGTAGAGAACGGTGGAGACTACGATGAACACCACGGCGACCTGGAGGAGGCGCAGCACGACGAAGATGAAGCAGATGAACAGGACGATGGAGACCCCGGAGCTGGCGAGGGGATCATCTTCGAGGACGGCGCCGAGGTCGAAGAGGAGCTGGCGTCGGACAACGACGGGCCAGATGACGAGGAGTACGAGGCACCGGAGGATCTTCAGGAAGCGTTCTTGGCCGGCTGGAGGGCCAAGCAGAAGACGGCGGCACAGCGTCAGAAGCGCGGGTTCGTTGCCCCTCGGCAGCGGGGCCCCAAGAAGATCAACGCCAGCGGCTCCTTCCAGGCTGGTCGGAAGCCGACGGACCAGCGCAAGGCTAACAGCCGGTGTGCTGACTGCGATCAGCCCGGCCACTGGCGTGGCGATCCGGAGCGCCCCAAGGTGAAGAGTGGCGAGCGCGAGCCGTGCAACAAGATCGGGCCTAAGAGTGGCCAGCCAGCGTCGCCCAACCAGCGGAGCTCTGTGAAGCCGCCGGCGCCTAGGCAGGTGCATGGGCCGATCATCCACTGGGTTGGCATGGCAGGCAGTGCCGAGGAGCGTCGTGGCCGCGCTCCATGGCGCCGTGCTCCCCAGTCGGTGCCTGCCCAGAGGCATCCGGTGGAGGGTCGAGCTGATGCTCCAGGGCGGATCATCATGCATCCCAGGCCCAAGAGCATGCCTGCGCCGAGCCTACGCCGGGACGCCGACGATGGCCCAGGGCCCGCACAGAGCAGTGATGAACGTGCGCGCGCCCGTGCCAGGCGCGGGGAGGATCAGGAGGACGAGGATGCATGCGTGCGTTGCCATCGCATTCTGGCCAACACCCACCCAAAGGGGCACAGCGTGGAGTTGGAGTTTCCTGACCTTGCCACGGCCCACCACATCGTGGAGCGCGTGACGAACAAGAAGTCTATCTTCTTCCAGCAAGGCCGCTTCGAGAGCCTCGACTTCGTCCAGGGTCGGCTTGTGCGTCTGCAGCTGACCACGTCGAGGCCTTGCACGGCGGCTGAGGTGGATCTCGACGAGATCACGGCAACTATGTTCAAGATCGTGATGGGCGGCAATCGCGATGCCAAGCCCCGTGGCGATCGGCGCGGTGAAGGCGGGAGTCGTGACACCAAGCAGCGTGAAGATCATCATCGAGATCGTCGTGACGACCGCCAGCGTGATCGGGGAGCTGTTCTCCGTGAGCCTCGTGCCCCTCCTCCGCCCGAGGCGGGGGCCTCCTCGCGTTCAAGGTCGCGGAGTGCACCAGCAGGCCGCGGCGTGAAGGAAGAGAAGCGGAGTCCACCAGAAGACCGCGGTCAGAAGGAAGAGAAGGAAGAAAATAAAGAGAAGAAGAAGAAGGCGAGGAGCAGCAAAGAAGAGAAGAAAGAGAGAAAGAAGGCAAGAAGCAGCAAGGGAGTGAAGAAGGAGGATGAAGCCAGCGAGGAGGATGAGGCCAGCGAGGACGACAACGATCAACGGCGTGAGGATAAGGAGGTGCCGTTCACGCCGGAGGAGATGGACGAGATCTTCTGCAGCTGGCATCCGCGTCAGGACATCTTTAGGGATTGCCTGACGCCGCCGGCAACCATCCACTTCATCACTAAGAACGACCGCATCGTGCGCCTCAACCTCTACACGCGCCGCTGCGAGAAGCCGGACTTCTCTCTATCCAGCGGCCCTGCGAGGGCCCATCCTGTATACGTGGTGGATGCCGCAGCGGCGGCGTCGGCGAAGGGAGCATCGAAGACTAAAGAATCCCCAGACGGAGCTGTGCCTGGACTAACGTCTGCCGCTCCGACTGGGGAGGCCGTCGCTGTTCCTAAGGACGAGGACTGGGTCATGGCAGGGGCCTCCGAGGAAGTGAAAAAGAGCGAGGAAAAGAAGCGACTAGAGGTCTTGCAGCGTGACAAAGCTGAGTTGCTGGATCGCCTCGCGTTGATAGAGAAACAGGAGATGGAGATGCACGCCCGATTGAACCCAGGCGAGGTCTACGACGGCCTGCAGAAGCGACGTGAGCAGGCACCTCTGCCAGAGCGTGTCCTGCCTACATCTCCTGAGCAGCAGGGAGTCGGAAGCGTGTGGAAGAACATGGAGGGAATACGACGACGTGTCCATCTTCCAGCGCCTCCAGGAGCCGCGAGCTCAGGTGCCCCTGCCGCTGCGACGGCATCTCCAGCTGCATCTGGAGTCCCGCGTGTAGTCACCGCCTCTGGACGGAGCTACGTCATGAGTGTCGGTGCCACGCAGAGCGACCTGGAGAAGCAGCAGATGCACCGAGCCATGTACGACTCGCAGTTCGACGGCGAGAGGCTGGTCCCAGGTCCGAAGGCGAAGTTCGACCCAGAGCTCGTGCAGCAGCAGGCTGCGTGTGTTCATCCTGTGGGCGAGTTGAAGTGGCAGTCAAACGGCACCGTGATCTTCGCGAAGTGCAAGAAGTGTTCGTTGAAGTCGGTGATCCATTACACGCTGGAGAAGCCCAAGACGGATGAAGGGGAACCTTCCAGGAACACCCCGGACGGAGCTGTGCCAGGACTAACGTCTGCCGCTCCGACTGGGGAGGACGTTACCGTCAAAAGGGGCGCGGACCCCTGGGCAGCAAAGGGCGCAGACCCTTGGGCAGCAAAGGGGGGATCTGCGGCCCACATGGTCACTACCCGAGAGGAGTGCCCCCACAAGGTGGTAGATGAGCAGTCCGTCATGCTGGTTGTCTTGCCCGCGGGGCTGGCTATGATTGACACGGGCTGCAAGCGGGCTGTCGGTGGACGTCCGTGGCACGTCGAGCTGCAGAAGACCTTGGATGCCATGGGCGTGCCGTACCACAGCATCAACCAGCGCGAGTACTTCAAGTTCGGCCCAGGCGTGCCGCTCTTGTCAGAGCGTGCGTGGTGCTACACAGTCGGCATCAATGGTACGCAGGGCGAGGTTGTGATCTCCGAGGTCGATGCCGAGGTGCCAGGTCTCATCGGTCCTGATGAGATGGCAGAGTGGGACGCAGCAATCAGCTTCAGGAGCGGTACTTTCACGGCGAACG